CGATCGTATTCTTTTTCGATGTTATCGACAACGGCATCTTCCCAACAGCCGACTAATGAATCGAATACATCCCAGTTTACGGTGGTTCTGGGGCTTCGGCTTCGGATTTAGCGGCTTTTTCTCCTTTCCGCGAGAAATAGAATCTTGCACGAAGGAGACGATGGTCTGATCCTGTGCAGAATTTTGGGATAACAGCGACATCGGTAAGGCAAAATCTTCTATTTGCTATGATGTGGTCTATTTCGTTATGGTATTCTCCGCTGGGGAGGCTCCCACGTCCAGGGCTGAGGGTGGGGTTTCTGGAACTGCGAGTTACCATGGATTGTAATATTTCGAAACCGACTTTCCTTGAACCTCGGTATCACTAATCAATATGTATTTGATTATGTCCGGGAAAAAAACAAGTTGCTATCTCCGGACATTATCATTATATCCACCATCAGCATCGTGTATAAAAGGGCATCACTGAGTAAGGATGCCTCATTCGAGGAGACGGCTCACTGAAGAAGACCTGACTCGACACAAAGGCGAAGCTGCCACGTCGAGACGAATAACAAGCATGGACCATCAACTAGGATCATCGGCTCTGAGGAAGACGAAGACGTCGAAACGTTAGCCGAAAATAAACATCACTATCAACCTCGTGTAAGCTCATCAAAGAAAGAATACATACCATGGAATGTCTTGGTCGCCATGATGAAGTTAGACAGCCGCTCACCCTGTCCATTCCATTCTAATCCGTGGGTCCCAATGTGACATTCTTCAGACATTCTTCTTGGTCCAGTCTTGGCGTTGAAATCTCCAATGATGACCTTGAAGAATGTGTGGTCTTCTCTGTAGAGCTTCTCTAAGTCCATATAGAAGGGTTCGACTTCATTTTCGTCATAGTTCGATTTCGGCGCGTAAACGACGAAGACTGTTAAATCCGAAATTGATTCACGTCTTTTTAATCGTAAACATCCGATTCGGGTTGTAAGTTGTTCGAATGAATCGATATTCATGGACAAACTCGTGTTGACAAGAAGGCCGACGCCGCCGATTCCTCTACTGTCGCATGTTGCGAGGAACTGTTCCTCTTCGGTGTCACAGACGGCGTTGAAAGGCTGGCGTCTTCTCGTCTCGGCCAGGCCGATGACGTCGTACCTTATCCTTCTGGCTTGCATGAGCAAGTCTTCTATCGAGGACTCAGATGCAAGTGTACGTGCATTGTAGGTACAGATCGTCACTGTAGTTCTTCGAAATCCAGGCAGCTTCCATTGGCCCTGAGATTTTAGCAGCCTCTCCGTACTCGTCCTACTCAACGCTGCGAATCTCGGGGATCTTTCAGGGTCAGGGAAATGATGCCTGCTTTTTTTTTTTTACTATGTCTAACATTTTTGATACCCACGTATAGCCTGCTGGGCTCTGAACGTGGGGGCTGGGCATACCCACGAGTAGCTTGCCAGGCTCTCCCAGAGTGGACATAGAGCTTATTTGTTGGAGGCGACTCCTAACCGACTCCCATATACTTTCCAGTTATTTGATTGCAGGTTTTTGGCCGAATTGACTCGTACAATACAATCCGCATAAGCAAGAACGCACCCACATACGCATGCATGGATACGCCTAGCAAATACAGAAAGTGTGTGCCAAATCAGCGCAGGAGAAACAGGGAGTCTATCCCCTGGATCCACCTGCGTCTTAGGAAAGCAAGGGTCGCTTTTGGTCCGCGATTAGCCCCCTATCCGCCACCTGAGGACGCGCCACGTAGCCTCGCGACTAACCGGCTCGAGATCCCTCATATGAGGAAGACCCACGGAGACTTTCCATATTAGACCAGACATTCTTTTCCTGTTTGAATTGATTAGAGCAATTTACTTCGTGTTACAAAACTTGACGATGGTAGATATATCACGGATACATTTAAAAGCCTTTGATGGGAAAGTAACGACGTGCAACACTGCTAGATTTATTTTGATATCAAATTATATAACTGTCATCTTTCCGAACAACACACAGCCTACAGTGGAATTGTTGCAGCAAAACGCAGTGCAATCCGCAGCATTTCTAACGCAGTGCGGAAAATGCACAAGGTTGCCATAGATGACAAGTTTCATTCCATTTTTTAAAATAATTCGACATCAAGTAACATGTTTTTCGGATCCAACATGTTCAATCGTTTCTTCGCATCCACTTGCCAGGAATGTTCGGTGTGTTCGCCTCGTGCTTCAGGATTTGCAAAATAGCTATAAAGAACTTTGAACGATGGTCGAGTCAATTCTCTACAGAATCCTGGAATAGAAGCACCAGAGCATTCCATAGCATGAAACGATTTCATATCTTCAGTGAGGGTGCCACCACTTATTGCAGTTGATTCGTTTCCTTGCACCTATTATTCGTAAAAGAATTCGAACTGTTTACGAAAGCGTCCGTCTAACGTGTAGGTGGTCTTCTCAGGAGACGCTTTCATCCTTGTAGTGTCTACTCTACAGTTCCTGTCGTTCATCTATCGTCGGTTCTTCTCATTATGTGACCGGCGCATCCATGTTTCTCTATCGATGTATGTTCTCCTGGATCTCGAGATGTGACAGATTTCGTAGATCAGAGCTTCACATTTCGGCTAGATATTGAGAGTGCCGTTTATATTTCAGAAGACATCGCTCAAGTGCCCTAAGATTAGTGCGGAGTTATTCTTGACGTGGTTGAAGTATTAGCCGGGAGGGGGGGTGGGGGTGTGGAGCGCTAAATCGAAAAGGTGAGAGCGGATTTTCGGGTCCTTCAGTCAGCTTCTTTGAGAGGTCCGAATGCGACCTAAGCTACTTCCCTTCTTCTGTGTAGTTCCTCCTTCATGTTATGCTCCATATTCGTTTATCGAATATGATATACGTACGAGGTAGTCTCTGCAATCAGAGAGCCATCCAGTTCAAAATTTTCACCTTTTCACTATGGGTTTTTCATGAATTGGGTCCCTTTCTTTTTCCTCTCTTCGTTGAGCTCTTTGACCATCGTTTCTGCTACCCTGGTGCTTCTTAGAAAGCTGACGAGGTCGTCGACGAAACGAAAATTTTTTGAGAGTTTCCCATCAAAAAGTATGCATTTCTCACAATCGAATGACTTCGTTATTTATTGCAGTGCGGTACAAAACAGCTTTGGCGATATTGTGTCGCCTTGCCGAATCCCTTTTCCATTTGATAGGGTAAGAGTTCGACTGAAAAGCTGTGTTTTCGTAGTTCAGTTCCGATAACAGTCAGACAGATTTCTTATCTAGGACGGGACCACTCTTTGGTCGACGAGTAGGATTGCAATTTCTTCGACATTGACAAGCGCTTTTTCATAGAAGACAATCGTTAGGAATTGGGGCAGGTGATGTTTCCGACAAAGTTCAGTGACCCTGGACACAGTTTGGGTGTAATATATGCAGCATAATCCTTGTCGAAATCCACCTTTCTTGACTGGTTGCACTTCATCCAATGTCCTTGATATGCGCAAGAGGATAATCTTCGTGAAGAGCTTGTAGAGTACACTCAACAGGCATATCGGGTGATAGTTACGAAAATCCCTTTGGTTATCTTTCTTGAGCAGGACAGCCGTGCGCGAGGTCGTCCACTGGTCTGGAATTTTTTCCTTTTGAAGGTACACTGTCGTATGGTTTACAGCAAGTACATGTAAATTATGGCTTCCAGTTCTAAGGAAATCGGCAGTGATATCATCGCGTCCTGGAGCTGTGCCTCTTTTCATGCTTTCTACCGTAACTAGGGCCTCAGACGAAAGAATTCCGGGTGAATTTTCTCCAACTGGAAAGTTAGGGTCTGGAACCAGAACTGTGGAAGGGAAAAGGCTGCTGTGAGACCTTTCGGTTATTAATACCATACCATGACGGGAAGCTTTGGTGTTCCCATCTTCGTTCGTCTGCGCTGACGGCAGAACGTTGTAATCATACACGTCCCAATGACACTTTTTCCGACTGCCTCTTTTCTCTGCTGCTTCTTTTTCTGCCTGTACGGTTGTAAGCTTTCTTGGAAAGCTCTGTAGCTGGCATATATTGGTAGACATGGTAGACGTGCTGCAGTAGAATCTAATATCAGTTTTCCCCTTTCTTTCGAACAACTTCTTAGTAGTAATGGAGATGCGATCCGATCCTCTTGCATATGGAACTGAGATGAACTCGGCACAGCTTTTAAGTCCTTCGACAAGCAGCTCGTAGCCATTGCTAGAGTCTTCCCTTATCTGCCAGTGATGCTTGGATTGAATTTCGTTGAGAACGTTTTCGTCATATGCAGCTACACTTTATCGTCATGGTCGAAAACCTGCGCGAAGAATTAGGTTATCGGAACCAGTATAGAATGAGCGGACTACCAACGTGTGAAGTATACACTATCTTCTATTTGTCAGAATATGGTCGACGTTCGCACGAGGGCCACCGCGAGCTATTTTAAAGGCCAGATGTGCACTCAATCACCTCTAAACAGTTCTTAACAAAGTCGAATGTGTGGCGCATCCCTCAGGTATTGATCAACGCCGAAAGCCGTTATCCTTTACTCCTTTACAGAGGAATTTCAAAACGATGGCTACGTTGTTCATTTCCTTTTCCAGTGGCTAAAGTAAAAAAGTCGCTGAGAAACAGGCAAAGCAATGGCCTCGGTGGATGTGGAGGACAGCACGTAAGCGCCTGGAAAGGGTAATCCCGGGTTCGAAGCCCACCTAAGGTTCCGAGTTTTGCTCATATCTCAGCATCATTGCGGTTGTGTTTCATGTAATACCCTGAGATGAGAAAGAATAGGCAGTAAATAAAGTTGAACATTAACATGTTTATATTTCTTTCGTTACTCTATTGCACTGTTTTTACGCTTCTTTTACAACATAGGGCTGAAACGTTCGACAGATGCGTTATTTCGTCACCAGACCTTAGATTAGGTTCATTGTCGAAAAAACACCGTCAGTTTCGCTTCCTCAACCGTTGAAGCCATTTTTACCACAAGGTGAAGCGTGCCATTAAGTAATATTTGAGGCGGTAGGGAATTCCGTGGCTACACACAGTACTATTAAGCATGGGAAGTAGTTTTTTTCTGATATTCAAAAGCACCTTCGTAGTGAACCACATTTTCAAAGTAGGACAGTAGTTCTAACAAGTGTAGATGTTCTAAGAAAGACCTGAAACATTTTCGACACGGATGCCGAAGAATTAGTAATTGGACACAACTAGGCTTGCCAAAAATAAAAACTACTGATAAGTTTAGCGGAAAATCTGTCCTAAAACGAACACAAGCTAAAATTTCGCGAGCTTTCTTCATCTTGGTTTGAATCGATAATGATGACTTCATTTTTGTTTCAATTCTTAGCCGAAACGTATTAAACTCAATATCAATGCCTACCTTAATGTTTTGGTCACGAACAGTTTGGGTAAGTTCGAATGTGTCCAGCCGCCGCACGTTATCCGCGACACGATGATGCAGTATTTCGTACCTCAAAACGACTTCATATCGACTAGATAAGTAATCACTGATAGGAGACGCTAATCATTTATTGCTCCTCCAGATGAGCATCGGAATGTACTATGTTACTCCCCTTCGATTTCATCATGTTCTAGTTATATTCGACGCCAAGAACACTATATTTTTGTGAGCGTTTTTACCTTAGAATGGAATGAGAATTAGAGTTGTCAACATAGAGACTAGTATTCGGCCGTAGTTTCCGAACTTGCTTGACAAACTGACGCCTTTAATTTTGCAGACCTTCCTTCCTCGAAGGACACATTTATGACAGCCTTCAATACCGTTCACAAGAAAGCTAGACATTCACAATTTCAGCAAAGTATGAACGGCGCCTTCAGTCCACTCTGAGCCTGCATTTTTCCCGTAGATAATACACATCCTCTTTCGTAAGGCCCAGCCCAGCTAGCCTTCAGGAAGTAAGATAGAATGTGAGCGATTATCTGACTGACCAAGCGCATTTTCGCGTCACTCTTTGAATTTTTATTGAGGTTAATTATGGCACTTCAAGCTAAACTAGTTAGAGTTCTTCCGTGAACGTTCTTACGCTCTGTACCGATTTTGCTAAGCAACACACCAATAATACTCAATATGGTTGTTCATAAACGGAATACATATGGAAACAATCTGCTCCAGTATAGGAAATGTTTGCAACATATTTGTTGAAGGATACATTAGAAGAATACAGAAGAATACAAAGCGACCCTGATTTCACTCTATTCTACACTCTACATAGTACAAAAAAGTCACAGTAGAAAACACAACAATAACGATGCCTTAACGCAAAAGTTCTATCCTCGATTATCGAAACAAAACAAAGAACGTGTTGAACTACGGAAGTACAAAACAGTAACAAATAAGATAGAGGTTTTCCCCGTCGTGAGTTACCACAGCAGAAATCATTTGATACACTTCAATAAACAAGAACCGTGTGTATTCGACTTGCACTTCTACTTCTACTCAGAGCAACGCATAAAAACTATTTTATTCAGTAGCACTAAAACTAACCAAGGTTTAGATCAAACAACAGAAATAGCAAACATGTGAAAATAATACATTCCTACTAGGAAAATTTGTCAAATTAACAGCAGAAATAACCATGAATCCAAACCAGCACAACAGTAACAAATATGTGAAATTGATTCATTCTCCTACGAAGAGTCATCGAATTAATAAGAGAAAGAACCATGAATCATGTTTCAAATTCCACACGATGCACTTACAGCATGGAAATTGAACAATATATCTGCATAAATTGTGCAGCTTACACGAGGTTGTTACATCAGCTTTCCTTAGCTAGCGCCTCGACATCTTTTTCGTCAGAACTCATAACCCCTGTTGATGGTTTAACGTCATGGAACCAGTTCTTATCCTCATCAGGGTGGCATGCAGCGTTGGTATTGAGCCTCGAAATCGCCGATACGTTCCTTGAGTGCTTTATTTGCCAGCAACACCTCAGTGAACTACAAACAAAGGCATTACATATGTGTACAAATCCGATCATCCTATGAAAACAGGAAATGGCATTAAGGATTCAGTATGCAATCAAACCTTGTATACAATGCATATTGTCCGCTGGCTGTTAAACCCTTGCACTTGCAGCTTCTTGCAGTGTTACTGAATTAAAAACATAGGCAACACTGCGTATTACGCTGCAACAGTGCGAATATTTGAGCGAACTCTGTTTCAAGCTTCTCTCGCTTCTACTTGAACAACAGAGGTCCAGGTTCCATCGTTTTGAATCCTGCTGAAAAATTTGTCAGACTAAGTAACACTCCAGAATATCCTACTCAAAAAAAAGTTAAAGCAAAATTGCTAAGTCCTTTGCCTATGCGGACAATTGTGGAAGTACAACACTATGCAAAGTGGTAGTGATGCCGTCATTACGAGCATGGGGCTGGTTCGATCCTGCTTCAGGCTCACTAAGCCTCTCATCCCTCCGGAGTCGGGAAAATGGTACCGGACTTGCTCGAGAAAAAATCACTCTCTGCAATCCAGTACGGAACGTTCCAGTCGACTCCAGACAGAATCGACTCGACCAACTTTCTGCGATATTCAAGATGAAATGGAAATTCTCAAGCAGCAGCCGAACCCACAAGCAAAAGTTGGAAGACCTCAGTGGATGATGGATGCGAGGAAACGAATCGAATGTGAGAAGTGATGGGCTTCTCAAAGCAGATGTGAAGACGGGTCGTATAAAATAAAATAAAAAAAGGTATTCGGCTATGCCGCTTTTTTTAAAATGAACTGCATTGAACTGCTAACAAAAACCGAAGCATTTAATTAATAATAAAAGTGAAAATAATGCAATGAAACACAACGTAACCTTTCCTGATGTAAAACGCATGCACACAGGAAAGTCATAAGGAATCTTGAGAGGTACTGACAAAGTGAGAGGGTTAAAATAAGGACAAAACCGCTGCCAAATAACGTGTTATTAATCAGCAGCTGTTTTTGCAACATTCTGTGGAGAAATGTTGCCAACAAAGTGTACCAGCCACATTGCCCGAACCTCTGTGCAGGAAAGGAACAACGTAAAAACGACCACGGAGAGAGACATTGCTCTTCGCATAAGATTTTACGATTTGAATGGACAAAATTTGTAAAACAATGACGAAGAGTGGGAGGGCTGTCTTATTACCGATCTGAACATGAGAAAACGTTGAGGCAGAATACAAACGTGCGAAAGAGAGAGAGAAAGAGTACGAAATGAATTGCAACGTGACACATTCAAATGCTCAGAAATTACTACCCTTCTTCCCAAATAAGGTAAACGTTAAAAGGATAGAACTCTCGGTGTTCATCAATCCCTGAAGGATGCGCCATGCCTTCGACCTCATTAAGCATCGTTTGGAGGTGACTGAATGCATATCTTGCCTTTATAATGACTTGCCGTGGTCTACCGATGTATCGAGCTCGTGCTGCTATTCTCTCAGACAGGTCTGGTATCAATTTTTCCGACCCCGGAGAGAAGGAAAGCTTGGTGGGCCATAGGCGTTGGAGTCGATTCCATGTGTGTTGCAGGGCGCCCCTGATTACTGCGCCACACGCGCCCTTTTTTCTACGTTTTGATGCACAGAAGAAGATTCAAACGGTGCATCTCTCAAGCCCTCACAATTATTACAGGATTTATTTCGAGGAAAAAAAAACCTTACATGAAATCTATTCGTGAATCAAACGCGAAGTCGAAGCGATCCTATGAAGGGCGCATAAGACATCGCGCTAAAAGATGTCATCCCTGTTTGCTTTTCATAACGACCATTGGCACCGAACGAACAGTGGATTTTCACCGCAGGCCGTATGTCTCAAACATAGGTCGTTATACCAAACAAGGTAACTGGAAGAAAAGTCGGTAAATCATTGCCATATGAGCTGCTTTTTTAAGCCCGGCTTGCCATCGATTTAAACATACCATGCATAAATTTACATAGTATAAGTATTGAAATTACACAGGCATGATTATGCTAATTTCCCGAAATTATGGTACTTCGCGATTCTCAAGTGCACGTGGGATGTTATTCGGGCTCTAATGAACAGGTAGTCCTCATGCTTAGTCTTGGAGTACTCGAAAAATTACTTGAAAGTATACTGAATCCTCTCCATAGAGCTCCTTTCCAACAACCCTAGACCTATCATCGATATAACAACCACTATTCTCATAACATTCCCCAAAGCGTATCCATAGAATCTTGTAGCCCGACAAATCAGTGATATAACTCATTAACGAATAAGAAGAACGGCTTCTATTTCTCATTGGTGGCATCAGGGTTTCATCCCATTTTCTTCCAATTACATGATTTTGAAACCGTATTCTCTCTTCGCTTGAAGACCAGATGTTTTTCGGCAGCAATTTCACTTTTAAAATATTTTTGCAAATAAATGAGGAACAAATTCGTTTCCTGACTCTTTGTTTTTAATTTTTCCTTTTGACAGAAAAGTTTATAAAACGTACCGCTGGTCCGACGGTGGTCCAGAGGTAGAATGCGAGGCAGGTGGAGGAATCAATTCTTCCTCCAGTCTCCGAACCGGCTCTCTGGTGTGACGTAATTCGTTACCTCAAAGTTCGCTTATGAAACCTAGTAGCAACATAACAATGAATCCTTGCAACATCTCAAGAGCTGAGGAAAAAAACTGGCCATTGTTAAAGATATATTAATTAATGAGCAGAACAACAATCGATGGGCTTGCTGATGACAGAAACAAAAAACGGCACCACTACCACACTACGTTACTTGATCTGAACTCCCAACATCAAAACATTCTTTTTAGACCCCGATTTTCACAATGTCTTTGGTCAGATCATATATGTAAATATATGATATGCAAAGATATATGATATTGAAAGATATGTAAAGATCAACGAGGTAAACCTACAAATTCGTTTTAATGTTTTGCTGTTTTTAATAGGTAATGTGTCGCTTTTCTATTGAAGGAACCGAAATCCAACGATCACTAGAAAACCAAGATACACAATAAAACATATGTTATTTTACTGAAAGGAAAACTGGTAACTGACTAATTGGACAATAAATGTTCGAACGAACAGGAGATATCGAATGTTAAACAGGGTTATACGTTTCTTTAAAGATGGTTCATATTGTGTGTACAAATTGAACCTGAGGAACATTATGAAGTTCTTTGGCTACGCGATACGAAAAGTTGGCTTTCATCCCATGGTAAAAAAAAACTATTCAATGTTTAACGTTTTGTTTTCTGCCTTCTATAATTTTCATGGCAGGTTACTAAGTAAGCGAAATACAACCACAACGTTG